TTTTTTTCGGAGTCATGTACCACCTATACATCATTTTATAACAATTCTCTCTAACATTGGTACAAGGCGATATCTTAATAGAATTTTTCCACAAATATTCCCAGGTTTCAATAGACACTTCCTTATTCATATTTATCGCCCATTTTATCATCTGCCCTTTCACAGTCTCATCTTCTGTATACCATTTTAACAACACTTTATACATTTTAGAGATATTTTTTCCTCCTCCACTCTCCCAAACCTTTTCCATCTCATTTTTTTCCTCTCTAAAACCATATTTCCTTTTATCTGATTTAAAGAGATCAAAAATCTGCATATATTTCAACCATTCGGATTCATATTCAATTTCATTCTGCTTTTTCATTACCCATTCTGTTCCCACTTTTTTAATTAGATCCTTGTATGGCAACCAATCTTTGTCTCTATGTCTTGAGTAAGATGTTAACACTTCAACTGGTACAATCCACAATGGTCTTACATCACAAAAATATTTTTTATATCTCATCCATACCACAAATAATGCTTTTCTTACCACATAAAGCTTAAAAAAGCTATCCATTTTTGTTTTGTCATACCATAAATATGCATGCCAACCAAATCTACAATCATGGCCTTCTAACCCCAATAACTTATCATTTTCTAGTTTCACCCACTGTTCCATCCAGGTTAGACAGACCGCTTCATAATATAGTCTAAGATTTGGTAGTTGTAGCCCACCTCTATCTTTGGCATCACAAAGAATTTTCATCTTGATTCTCGGTTTCTTGCCTGCCCAGACAAACTTTGATAGTTCTTGTTGCCACTTAAGTAGCAAATCTGTCTTACTGAGTATTGGTATTGTTTGGAACAGGAACATCAAACGTGGTAGGACATTGAGCTACTAAAATTCTGAAGGGCCCGATGTCCCGCCTACACTACACAATACAGACATGCCATATGAAATTTAAAAACCCCAAACATGCATAGGAATTGTCATGGGAAAGAGGCGATGCAGAGGGGGTTCAGCTGCTTGCTTTCTGTGACCTTTTCCTCTGGCCCTTTCCCCAAGTCCTGGTAAGCACCAGTGCTTTTTAGGACTCTCCTCTAGGAATTTTTCATAGTTTATTGTGCTCCCAGTGGTCAGAGATAGTGTATTTAGGAGGGGTGTGTGGCTCTTGGCATGTATGCCCATCCACTTTTACCTGTGTTAAGGAGGTCTTGCAGATTGTTATATTATTTCATGGACTTGCAGAACTGGGAGTGGTGGCGCAGGCGGTAAAACGCCTGCTGGTAACATCAGTGAACAGCTGCTACAGCTGTTCGAGACCCACCACGGCCAGGGTGAGCTCCTGGCCCTAGTCCCAGCTCCTGCCCACCCAGCGGTTCGAAAGCAATTAATATAAGTGAGTAGATGAATGGGTACCTGCCCTTAGGTGGCGGGGGGCACCCTCCACGTACGGGTGTGTGTGGCAGGAGCAGTAGAAGCGACTGCAGCGGCGGCGGTGACGGTGGAAATGGCGGCGATGGAGTGGCGTAGCGTCGGAGCGGCAGAGCGAAGGCAAAGCGGAACAATGGAGGTGGAGACAGAGGCGGAGCTACAGAAGGACGTGGTGACGTGACACAAGCGCAGCAGAGCTGTACGGACGTTAGCTGGGCTGTAAGTCGATACGACCCATATACCAGACGGGCCCGCCGAAAGAAAGAAAGAAGAAGCTGCCGGACCGGACGACCACACCAGGAACCGAGCACTAACACCCGAAAAGACCGCCTGGGAAGAACAACCAAGAAAACCAGCGAGCCCTGCCACCTGGGTGCCGGTAGCCAGCCTTGTAGACATGTGGCCTTAGCTAGGGATAAATTTGGAACTTGTAAGCCGCTCAGAGACCCTTTGGGGTTGGAGCGGGGTAGAAATTGAAGATATAAATAAATAAATAAACCTGTTTACGCAGAGATGTCTGCCAATGCCACAAGAAGCAGAGGCTGCTTTTCAGTATCTCTGTCCTCAAAGCATGTTACAGTAAAATGTAGAAAAACGACAAATACAAAATTACAAATAATTAGCTGCAGTATATCTATTTCTTGTTAAAATAAAAATTACAATGCCCCAGGTAAACTGCTGTCTGCCTCCAGCCTTACAGATGTCCTTGGGAGCTTTGGTTGCAAAACTATGTAGCAGCTGATTTAGGAATTGTGTCTTAAAACTGTACAATGAACAGGGCAGATAGAATTCAGTATGGAAAATAAATCAAAATTCAGTAGCCATGTTGGTCCCTAAAAAAATTCTCAGAGGTAGTAGTATAATGCTTTGGTTCAAACCCTCGAATTCTACCACGCAGAGTGCCTGCTTCCAAAGCAGCATAGAACATGGCTGGGGGGGAGCAAATGTACTCCAGACCGTGCTTAAGACAGCGAGGGAAGAAGGTCTTGCTTGCAGACAGAGGCTGAAGGAATGTGCAGAGGGTAGACAGACAAGCCAATGGCAGATCTCCCACGGGAAGAATCAGCAGCTGCTAAAATCCACCCGCAGCATGAACTGACACCCAGGGAGTGGAAGAGAGAACACAGCAGTCCTTGTGTCCCGCCTGCAAGACTGGCGAACTTGGCTCCCTTACCCCCACCCCCCTTCACCATGAATGATAATCCTTCGGGGGCTTGAGGAGCTCCCTGGACCTGCAAAGTCAAGAGGTCATCAAGCACTTGATGGGCAGCTGTCAAGGACAGCTTGCTGAGATGAGTTTTCTGGGTCACAAGTTGTGCAGGCCTGCCTGATACCCGCACTCACGGAGGCTGGTTTTTAAAAATATGGAAGGCATGGTTACTGTAGAAGCCAAACCGAGTAGCATCGCTTGGTGACTGGGGGGTGGGACAGGGGTGCATGAGCATGCAGTCAGTGTTTGGATAAGGAGCCAAAGTTCCGTGTAGAGATTTCATAAGGTCCAAATGGCATATTCTTATTTATCTTCCTCCCCCAGCATTTGAATCCCCCTCTTTGACAGCTACATTTGGCCATCTCCAAAGTAGATCAAGATACTGAAATGCACATTCACGCAGACATCCTGCCAGTGCTTCATTCACGGTGAAGAAGACATCCGTCTCACTGGGCCCCTAAAAACTCCCCTGAAAGGGAATGCAGCCACGGGACTTAGTCTTTCTCCCCAGCAGTGATCTTGGCCCACATTGGCTTCCACAGCCACTGCCAGCTGCACTTACCTGGTGCCATTAGGGAGCATTTGCCTCAGAGAATTTCCCCTTTGCAGCATCAAAACGTTTCTTTTCTTTTGGTTGCAGGGTCCAGCTGGCCCCCAGGGCCCGATTGGATATCCTGGCCCTCGTGGTGTCAAGGTAAGAGAGCTGGGCCTCCAGGTTCTGCAGAAGAGGGCAGTGTCATTGAGATATAATAACTAGAGGTGTGCACAAAAAATGGTATTTGGGGGGGTTCAGGTATACCAAATCAGAAGAATATCGGTATGTACCAATATTCCTGAATCCTAATATTGGTATTATATTAGGATTCAGGAAATAATTGGTATTGCCAAATTTATCTAGCTTCATTATACCCTATGGGGACTGTCCCCATAGGATATAACGCATACTCGATCCCCAAGCCGCGCCACGTGCCAGTGAACTCCGAGTGGCCAGCAAGCTCGCCCACTTCCAGGTGAGTTCGCCAGCCACTCAGAGTTCACTGGCACACAGTGTGGCTTTGCAAAGCTCCCTTTACATGGCAAGAAGCCATTAAACCCCTCTGTTTCACTCCCCCCTGCTCCAGAGCAAGGAAGCAAAAGGGAGTGCTGAAATTGCTTCCTCCCATTTAAACTTTAAACAATTTAAAGTCCACCTGTCAGCTGTTTGGTTTAAATGAGAGGAAGCCTTTAAACCCCTCCATCCTCCCAGTGAGAGCTGAAATGGCTTCATTCCATTTAAACGGAACAGTGTGGTTGGTCTGCCTTCAGTTGTTTGGTTTAAATGGGAGGAAGGCTTTAAACCGCTCCATTCCCCCCACAAAAAAAGGGAGTGCTGAAATGGCTGCTAGGCTTTTAAACTGAACAGCTGACTGACGACTCCGCCAGTCAGCTGTTACATTTAGATGGCTGGCAGCTCGGGTTTGGTATAGCTGAAAGCACCTGAATAAAAGCCGAATCAAATTGGCTTTTGGGGGGGCTCAGCTGTATCAGTAGCCGAATACAGATCTTTCAAAGCCCTCTTGAACAGCTAGGTATGTGTTTGGGGGGGGGGGGTTCTGTCTCTCCCATGGGTGTGGGAAGCAGGACATGAGGGGCAATAAGCCAGTGTTGTCCATTGTCTGCCCTAGAGAGACTGTGCTGCATAGAGGGAGTGGGGCCCTCCCTTTCTTTCCCCTGCCTGGCCCATCCTTTTGTGGCCAGCTTGTCTGCTAGAAGACAGGTCAAGCACCAAGGGCCATGGAAGCAGCCTGGATCCACAAGGGAAGTGAAAGGCCTGTGTAGTGTCAGAGGAGGGGAAGGGGCCCTTCTCCAGTACCTCCCTTCTCTTGGTCTTCTGAAGTTCCCTGCTTTGGCTCCTTGGAGGCATCCAGGTTGGAGCCCAGAGCCAACTCAGTGAGGGCCATGGCAGAACCCATGAAGAGGTGCTGGTTGTTAACCCCATGTTTATCAGGGTACAGCAGGACCAGTTGGGGTTTTTGCCTCAATCTCTGGATTATTCTAGGCATGTGTAGAGACAGAGATTGAGGCAAAATCCAGAGATTGAGGCAAAAACAGTAGTCACAACTAGGGACCCCTAGCCACCCATTGGCTCCTGTTGGGCAAGTAGGGGAGACTGCCTGCTCAGTCAGCAGGGACATGCACACCAGTGTCTGTCTTGGGATATGCAACTGGATGGCTCCTCACAACAGGAGCGCCTGCACGAACCTCCTTGAAGGGGGCTGAAGCTCTTCTTTAGATGACGTGAGGCTTATGGAGGAGAACTTCCTGGGAGTGGACTGTGCCGGGGGTGTGCTGTTCAAGGATTATCATTCTGATTCCACATTGGAGCTGGGGAGAACAGGAGCATCAGTTCCATTAAATACAGAGAGTATTGTTATCGATCTGGAAAACTGGGTGGGGAAAATTTTCTGTTTTAATAAATATGGGAGCAGTACTCTTCAAAGTTAACAAAGGGAATTAAACTGATGGTTTTTAAATCACCGCCCCCCCCCAAGGGCCCAGGGACCCAGCCCCCTTTGCTGTTCCCTTTGCCCCAGCTGGTCTGTGGCTCATCGGTCTTCCTCTTGGCCATAACAGTGGCCCTTTGAAAGGGCTGCTGCACCACAGACCGGAGGAGCACGCTTCCTTCCCCCTAGTGGCTCCTGTGGCCTCCCCAACGTGGTTCCCAATTCTAATATTACTGGGAGTGGGAAAACCACAACTGGGAATCGTCAGGGTAGCCCTACGCACTACCGGATGTATCCAGTCCAATTTTGCCACGTTGGCAATACCTGATTGCACACCCGAAGATTGGGTCCCGTCTTTGTCTGTGGGTAGGGCAGTGTCGCCTGGATCTCCTGCCTTGGGCCTCCGTGGGGTGCAGTGGCTACTGCTGAGTATTGCAGAGGAGACACAAGTGCAGCCTAATTCTCCCTTGGAGAGTTTGGGGGGGGCAGTAAGAGTTACAGAAGCACTAGTTCCAAAGAGTGATTAACACATGGAATTCACTGCCACAGGAAGTGGTGGCGGCTACAAGCATGGGCGGCTTCAAAAGGGAATTAGATAAGCATATGGAGCAGAGGTCCATCAGTGGCTCTTAGCCACAAGGTATAGATAGGGGCTCTGGGGCAAGTGATGCTCTGTCTTCTTGGTGCTTGGGGGGTCAACAGTGGGAGGGCTTCTAATGTCCTGGCCCCACTGCTGGACCTCCTGATGGCACCTGGTATTTCTGGCCACTGTGTGACACAGAGTGTTGGACTGGATGGGCCTTTGGCCTGATCCAACATTGGCGTCTCTTATGTTCTTATGTTCTTAAGCACTTTCTAAGCTGACGTCGGCAGCCTTTGGATCCAAGCCCCGAGCAATCTAACGAGGCAGGCCATAAACCGAACTCTGCTGTGGGAGAGGCCTGCCTTTGAGATCCCACCCGTCTGGCCTCTGGTGGGAGAGGCGCCCCCAGCAGGCCCTTTCCGAGTGTCTTCGGCAAGTGGGGCAGGGTCCTTCTCTGGGCGACGTGGGCGCGAGCTACAGAGGGCTTTGGGCTCCGGAAAGGGCGCCTTAAATTCAGCGTGAATGCTTGGTGGTGGCTGCTTGTGGTCTTTCTTCAGAGTCCGAGCTCTGCAACCAGTCCCCGAGGAGAGCCAGATGCCTCAGCGGAAAGGGAGGTGCTGTTGCCTGCTGGCAGACGTGCGTGCAGCTTGTGGGGTGGAGGCTGAGGGAGCTCCCCAGAGTTCCTTCATCTCTGGCTGCAGGCATAGCGTCATCTTGCCACAAGAGGGTGCTCTGCCATCTGAGTGATACGCATCTCTTATTTTAGCCTCACAGCTATCCGGTGAGGCAGGGTAGTCTGGGTAATGGCGAATGCCCAAAGGCACCCAAGGAGCAGCGGTCTGACCCGGCTCTTTCCCACCTAGCACTCTAGCCGTTACCACACCCTTCAGTGGTGAACTGGGACATGAGATACGCAGCTGCGTGCATGCGCGTGCACAGGGATGTCAGTTTCTTGGGCTTTATCAGAACTCTTTTGCCTGCTCTTGAAATGCCTGAGATACTTCAGCAGAGCAGCACAGGCCTTTTACTTTGCATTTCCTCTCTGCCCCTAAATGTGTCTAATTTTACCAAAGCCTGTTTAGGTTCCTTCGGAATTCCTCTGTTGTTTCCCCATGCAGGAACGTCAAAAAAAATGACCTCCGGTTTCACTCTAGGTGAAATTCGGTGGCCAGCCTGCGCTCCACCCTCTTGGGGAGACTGGGTAGCCCTGCGCAGCTTTCCTAGTGTGAGTTTCCAAGATCATGAAAATATCCCTCAGCTACAAATGTTTTGTGGCAGTAAAGTGTGTGAAGTGCTGAAGTCTCCGTTGGAAAATGTGCCGTCTTGTGCTGTGACATTTGTGTTTTGGAGCCTCTGTTTAAAACCCACACCCACACCCCTCCTGCCTTGCTCGTTATGTTCCGTGGAAGGGAATGTCTGTTTTTCTCCATCCCATCTTGGAAGGTTCGATGCAGCAGCATCACGACTGAATGGCCTCTATAACGAGGCAAGGGGAGGCAGTGGAGTGGCCTCGGGTGGCAGATTTGGGGCAGTGCCCTCCTCCGCCTTTGCCTCCCCTCATGCCATCAGCCTCGCCTTCCCACTGCCGCCTCCTCCTCTGCATCAGCCCCCCACCCTCGCTGGTCCTCCTCCGCTCCTCCAGCCCCCAGGCATCTTTCAGGATAGCACAGCATGCCACCGTGTCCTGGCTCTCCAGGTCTCGTAAGGGTTCGGGAGGCCCTCTTGGGCGGGGGACCTGTCTCGAGATGCCTGGGGGAGGAGAAAGAGCGGGTCTGGGCTGAGGCCGCAGGGAAGGCAGCCCCAGGTGGCCTCCTCCCTGCAGGGTTATCATTTGTAGCCCTCCTAATCCCTTTTTGTGTGTTCTCTCCCCCTGCCAAGGGAGCGGATGGCATCCGTGGCTTGAAAGGGACCAAGGGCGAGAAGGTAAGTCAGCTCTGAATTTGCCAACTGACACAGGGTGCGTCTTTTGCAACCAAGGGTGTGCCTGTAGTTCCTGCAACATTCTCAGCTACGTCACCAAGTCTCTCCTGCATGGTGGGGTTGCCCAGCAGGGCTCTAGCTCCCGGACAACCTTTGCAGTGTGCAGAAATTCAGCAGGGAATGCTTCCTTCCTCGCTACATCTCCATGCCTTCCAAAAGCTGCAGCTGTTGACTGGCAGGTCTATCCTGGAAGCGCTGCTGTGGGGCGAAGCCTTTCCTCCTCCTCACGGTCCTGGCAGCACCAGCAGCAGCACGCAAGACCCTTTTGCTTGGCATCCAGGGCCAGGTCTCTGCCCAGGCAACCAAAGCCGTGGCAGCACTGCTGGGGGCAGTGGTGGAGAAGAAGGCGCAGGAGCGGCTGATGTCCAGAGACCCACCCAGCCACCCGCTCAGTCCCAGGCAGGGCTGGTGGGGCCTCGCTCCCAGGGGGTCTGGCCAAATGCTACTCCTGTGTGCCCCCTCCCCCCCCATGTTGGATGGCTTGGCTGCTCACCAACATCATCTGTCTCATTCCAAACTGGACTGTAGACTGTGGATTAACAGATGCACAAAATGGAGTGTGGGACGGATGGGGGGGATTTCTTTACAAACCAGAAAAAAAACGATCTCAGGCTTGCAGTAAAATCTGAATCCTTTTTTTAAAAATGGGGGAGTAGAAGTCCCCAAAATAAGAGACACAGTGACTGTGGCTTTAAGAGAAGGGACGCCCACTGAGCGCTCATCACCATTTTGATGGTTTCTGGGCAACTGCAAGGCTGAGCCTTCCGAGCCCTGTTTCCCGGAGGTCAAAGCCATGCGGGGGGAGCAGGGCTGGGCTTGGAGGAGGCCGGAACAGCCCCGGGACGGGTCCTGTCCCCTCCCCTGCCCTGGCCCCAATGGAGGAGGACTCCTCCCCCCCAAGGACAAGCCTGGCAGTGGCCCGGGTCACTTGCCAGCAGCCACCCCCCAACGGAGCCAGGCTCTTCCCAGGGAGGGAGGGGTTGTGCCAAGGGAAGGGGAGGCGGGAAAGCTGAGAAAGGTCAGCCGGCTGGTGGGTAGTAGGAAGGAAAGAAGGAAGCCAGGAAAGGGGAGAGGCTAGGGGGCCTTTTGGGGAAGGGGTGACCTTCCTGTGGCCAGAGCTCAGGCACAGCGAGGGCCAGCGAGGCTCCCTGCCCCCCAGTAGAGGGCCAGTCTGGGCCAGAGTCCGGGTAGGCAGGGGCCGTGTCCGGAGAGCAGGGTCAGGGTGCCGGGCGAGCCCAGAGCCACCCTTGGTACTGCCGAGGTGGATCTACGGCATTCAGAGCTGTATAGTGGGAGCAGCACGGGGTCTTGCCTGCCTCGATGCCTCGATTCATGTCTGTGTGCTTAACTGGCATCCTCCTCAGTGTGGAATTGTGCTTTTCCAAATTATACAGTCTTCGGAGGGGTTACGTGTAGCCGTTCCCTTCCATTTGATTCTTGTATTTGGGAAACAAATCTGCTTGTGATCTCTTCTGAATAGCGAGTTTGTAAGCCCAATTATATAGTCTATAGTCCAATTATAGTGGGAGCAGCACGGGGTCTTGCCTGCCTCGATGCCTCGATTCATGTCTGTGTGCTTAACTGGCATCCTTCTCAGTGTGGAATTGTGCTTTTCCGAATGCAGTCTTTGGAGAGGTTACGTGTAGCCATTCCCTTCCCTTTGGTTCTTGTATTTGGGAAACAAATCTGCTTGTGATCTCTTCTGTATCGCGAGTTTGTAAGCCCAATTAAATAAACAGGTGTCTCTGATTCATACTTTTCAGAACCCTGTGTGACTGAACAACAACAACAAGCCCAATTAAATAAACAGGTGTTTTTGATTCATACCTTTTGGAACCCCGGCTCAGATGCTGGCCGGGGGCAGGGCGGGGGGTACAGGGCGAAGCAGGACTAAAGCCCCAGAGGCAGCCACCGCAACAGCCACTCGTGAAAGCTGCGCTTAAAGGGAGTTTTGACAAGCCAGCACTCTGGTATATGGTTATGTTTTCCCAGAGGAGGAGTCGAGACTGTGTATTATTCTGGCCTTGTTCCAACCTTAAATCTCCCCTCTTCCTTTTGTTCATATCCTGTAGTCCATCAGTGGCAAAGCTGACAGTTATAACCAGGGAGCTTGCTGTGAGGGACCTTCCAAAAGCACCGGTGTTGTTTTTGGGTCACTGTGTCCACGTTTTAGCACCTGACGGCCTGGCTCTAGGACTTGGTATGCTATCGATTGGAATTCTGCAGTTAAACCTTTGCTGAGAAATATTAGCACCGTCCTTGAGTCTCTCAGAGAAGGCAGGCACGAAACGGCCTCTGTGGAAATAAAACAAGTTATCCTTCAAAATAATTTCTTGCAGGTGCCAGCAAGTTGTTGTTATTTATATCGACTGAGCCTGTGGTTGAGGAGGAAGAGGAAGAGGGGGGTCTAGATAGGAGGGGGGTACAGCTTCAGAAATATGTCCCTCACGCCAAAAGCCGCCTTCTTCCTCCAACAAATAGACCCCAGAGTTGCAGAAACGTCTCTCTAGGGTTTGATTTATTTTGGTATGTGAGGTTTGTAGCTTTGTTTCGCAGGGACCTTATCTTTCTTTCTCAGAGAACTGGGGGGTGGGTGGGGGGGTTTCTCTCCCAGGAGGCTTCTCTTGCCCAGGACAGAGTCAGCTTGCTGTGGAAACTGGTCTACTTCCTTTGCACTAGTTTTTGGGGGATTGCTTCAGGGCTGCCATTTTCCATCTGTGTTCCTGGGAACTCTGTGGTTCCTCCTTGACTGAGAGGATCTTCGTGCAAGTCGCCACCATTTGACAGGCTGCCCCCGAGGCTGCAGAGCCAGAGGGACGTGCTCGATAGCACATTCTGTTTGTGAACCTCCATGGACTGGCACTCTTTCTCTGAGAAGGGGAAGGGAAGGGAAGTTCCCTCTCTTGGTAATGACTGTGGTTTTCCTGCTGTTCTTATGCAGGGTGAAGACGGCTTCCCCGGATTCAAAGGCGACATGGGCATTAAAGGAGACAGGGTGAGCATTCACAGGTGTGGGCGCATTGGGGCTCCTTTATAGGACCAAGGTTTTGATCTCAGGGCTGAAAAGAACCCCGGGGAGCTTTGGGGGCGAGGAAAGCTGAGTGACTTGTGCTTCCTCTCCCGGCTGCTTCTGGGCCTGTTGCGAAGGTGGAAGTCATGTGCATGTCCTCTCGATGCAGCGAAGCACGAGAAAGAAGCCATTGTAACAGGCTGCTGCAGGGAATTCCAGACCTGCCTCAGAGCCCCTTTGAAGGGGAAATGCGGGTTACAGATATTTTAAACCAATTAATTGACCACATTGAGATTGACTATTTCATCAGGGGATGGAGTCGGAATGTTTCCTCCTGTTCATTCCTGCCTCGTCCTTCCCTTCAGGCTCTGTGGCAGCTGGCCCACTCTTTGGAGACCAGGCCTCACGCTGGCCTGGGCCTCTCTCCTGGGAACCAGGAGGGAGCCAGGTCCAGTGCAGAGCCCACTTGCTCCCTCTCATGAAGTAGTTGCTTGTGCTGGAACTGTCAGTTTATGCCCTCAGAGCTACATGGTCAGTACAAAGTTGTCCCACAGGGGAAAATGAGACCATTTTTGCTGGGTTTCCATGCAGCAGAACAACCCTCTTCCTCACAAACTGTATGCTATGGGAGGCTAACTGAGGATTCCTGGGAATTCCTGCTCCTCCGTTTTCGTAAGGGTCAGCAACTTTTCATGTGTGCTTGGGAGACAATAGGATTTCCAAAGGAGAGTCAAGGTTGAGGGGAAAGGCTGTTGACGGTCTTGAAGAAGCAGCCAGACTCTCTGGGCATCGCAGGGAAGCCATGAGGACAGCCGCGCCTCACTCAGTCTCCTGTGGCAGCTCTGCCAGGGCACACCCCCCCGCAGCCGAGAGGCCTCATTGCCCCTAAATGCTGGGTGTTGATCCTGCCAGCACACTTGGCAGCTGTTGGCACAGCCTCTGCAGGGCCCCACCTCCCCTGACACACTTGTCTCGTTTTACACGGTGAGTGTGCCCTTTCTCTCTCTCTCCGTTCTCTTCCTGCACAATTTCCCAGAGGTTTCATTAAAGCAGGAGCCTCCAGATTAGCCTCAATCTTTCACTTTATGCAAAATTAAGTGTTAATTTTAGCCCCAAATCTAATCACCCTTCTTGGCTGTGTGAAACATACACACACACACACACACACACAGGGCTGGTAAGAGGCCGATGAAACACACGACACAGTTTGCCTCAGCAGCCTGCATGAATAAATGTTTCTCAGATAGAAGATCCACAGATGGATAAATAATATATGAGCGCCCACAGACTCTGAAGTGCAGCTCACTTCCTTTACACAGTTTGCTCTCCTTAAAATTCTGCGGGTGTTTCACTTGAGTAGGAGCTTCCAAACTGGCACTGAAATTTTGCTTCAGGCTGGAGTTTAGTGCCCACTGTATTTAATAATGCCTTTAAATAATGCCTTTCGTTGTAATACGGAGCAACAGGGTGGAGAAGCTCATCTCACTTCCATCTCATTAACAGGGTGAAATTGGGCCCCCCGGTCCACGGGGCGAGGACGGACCAGAAGGCCCAAAAGGCCGCGGGGGCCCCAATGGAGACCCCGGACCACTCGGCCCTGCCGGAGAAAAGGTAAACGCCCCCAGGCTTGAGGGGGGCCACGGACTGTGCTGGGAAGGCCACAGGAGGACGGGGTGGTCAGAATACGGCCCTGCGTGCCTGACCCTTTTTCTTCTTAGCCCTGCCTCTGTTGCATGTCGGGCCTTGCAGGGACCAGAAATGTAAAGACACCTCCTTGAGAAATATATTCCTGATCATTTGTGCTGGTTCAGACTAACCCCCCTGGAACAGTCTCCCTGAGAGATGTTGCTGGTCGTCTGGGTCATTTATCTTTGCTCACAGGTCCTGCCAGTTTGGTGTAGTGGTTAAGTGTGCGGACTCTAATCTGGGAGAACAGGGTTTGATTCCCCCCTCCTCCACTTGCACCTGCTGATGTAACCTTGGGTCAGTCACAAGCTCTGGCACAGCTGTCCTTGAAAAAGAGCAGTTTCTGTCAGAGCTCTCTCAGCCCCACCCACCTCACAGGGTGTCTGTTGTGGGGAGGGGTTGACTTGTGCTTCCTCTCCCGGCTGCTTCTGGGCCTGTTGCGAAGGTGGAAGTCATGTGCATGTCCTCTCGATGCAGCGAAGCACAAGAAAGAAGCCATTGTAACAGGCTGCTGCACGGAATTCCAGACCTGCCTCAGAGCCCCTTTGAAGGGGAAATGCGGGTTACAGTTTGGTGTAGTGGTTAAGTGTGCGGACTCTAATCTGGGAGAACCGGGTTTGATTCCCCACTCCTCCACTTGCACCTGCTGATGTGACCTTGGGTCGGTCACAAGCTCTGGCACAGCTGTCCTTGAAAAAGAGCAGTTTCTGTCAAGAGCTCTCTCAGCCCCACCCACCTCACAGGGTGTCTGTTGTGGGGAGGGGGAGGGAAAGGAGCTTGTAACTCTGAGACTCCTTCGGGTAGTGAAGGGCAGGGTATAAATCCAATCTCTTCTTCTCTTCTTCTTCTAAACCCATTAATTGACCACATTGAGATTGACTATTTCATCAGGGGATGGAGTCGGAATGTTTCCTCCTGTTCATTCCTGCCTCGTCCTTCCCTTCAGGCTCTGTGGCAGTTGGCCCACTCTTTGGAGACCAGGCCTCACGCTGGCCTGGGCCTCTCTCCTGGGAACCAGGAGGGAGCCAGGTCCGGTGCAGAGCCCACTTGCTCCCTCTCAGGAAGCAGTTGCTTGTGCTGGAACTGTCGGTTTATGCCCTCAGAGCTACATGGTCAGCACAAAGTTGTCCCACAGGGGAAAACGAGACCATTTTTTCTGGGTTTCCCTGCAGCAGAACAACCATCTTCCTCACAAACTGTATGCTATGGGAGGCTAACTGAGGATTCCTGGGAATTCCTGCTCCTCCGTTTTCGTAAGGGTTAGCAACTTTTCATGTGTGCTTGGGAGACAATAGGATTTCCAAAGGAGAGTCAAGGTTGAGGGGAAAGGCTGTTGACGGTCTTGAAGAAGCAGCCAGACTCTCTGGGCATCGCAGGGAAGCCATGAGGACAGCCGCGCCTCACTCAGTCTCCTGTGGCAGCTCTGCCAGGGCACACCCCCCCGCAGCCGAGAGGCCTCATTGCCCCTAAATGCTGGGTGTTGATCCTGCCAGCACACTTGGCAGCTGTTGGCACAGCCTCTGCAGGGCCCCACCTCCCCTGACACACTTGTCTCGTTTTACACGGTGAGTGTGCCCTTTCTCTCTCTCTCCGTTCTCTTCCTGCACAATTTCCCAGAGGTTTCATTAAAGCAGGAGCCTCCGGATTAGCCTCAATCTTTCACTTTATGCAAAATTAAGTGTTAATTTTAGCCCCAAATCTAATCACCCTTCTTGGCTGTGTGAAACATACACACACACACACACACACACAGGGCTGGTAAGAGGCCGATGAAACACACGACACAGTTTGCCTCAGCAGCCTGCATGAATAAATGTTTCTCAGATAGAAGATCCACAGATGGATAAATAATATATGAGCGCCCACAGACTCTGAAGTGCAGCTCACTTCCTTTACACAGTTTGCTCTCCTTAAAATTCTGCGGGTGTTTCACTTGAGTAGGAGCTTCCAAACTGGCACTGAAATTTTGCTTCAGGCTGGAGTTTAGTGCCCACTGTATTTAATAATGCCTTTAAATAATGCCTTTCGTTGTAATAAGGAGCAACAGGGTGGAGAAGCTCATCTCACTTCCATCTCATTAACAGGGTGAAATTGGGCCCCCCGGTCCACGGGGCGAGGACGGACCAGAAGGCCCAAAAGGCCGCGGGGGCCCCAATGGAGACCCCGGACCACTCGGCCCTGCCGGAGAAAAGGTAAACGCCCCCAGGCTTGAGGGGGGCCACGGACTGTGCTGGGAAGGCCACAGGAGGACGGGGTGGTCAGAATACGGCCCTGCGTGCCTGACCCTTTTTCTTCTTAGCCCTGCCTCTGTTGCATGTCGGGCCTTGCAGGGACCAGAAATGTAAAGACACCTCCTTGAGAAATATATTCCTGATCATTTGTGCTGGTTCAGACTAACCCCCCTGGAACAGTCTCCCTGAGAGATGTTGCTGGTCGTCTGGGTCATTTATCTTTGCTCACAGGTCCTGCCAGTTTGGTGTAGTGGTTAGGTGTCCGGACTCTAATCTGGGAGAACCGGGTTTGATTCCCCACTCCTCCACTTGCACCTGCTGATGTGACCTTGGGTCAGTCACAAGCTCTGGCACAGCTGTCCTTGAAAAAGAGCAGTTTCTGTCAGAGCTCTCTCAGCCCCACCCACCTCACAGGGTGTCTGTTGTGGGGAGGGGAAGGGAAAGGAGTTTGTAAGCCCCTCTGAGACTCAGAGTGAAGGGCGGGGTATAAATCCAATCTCTTCTCTTCTTCTCTTCTTCTGCAGCCGCCCTGAGCCTCCGGGGTAGGGCGGGGTAGAAATTCAAATATAAATAAATAAAATAAAAGCAGTTGTGCTTGGGCTGGACCCCGGCCTCTCAGCCGAGCTCCATCGCCATTTTAAAGTCTTCCCATAGCAATAGGTTCCCCCACCCCCCGCCCCACTGTTTTCCCTAGATATGCTAAGATTAATCCTGGCGTTTGCTTAGGCATATTTATATCTTCTTTTAAAAAGTTTATTGGTTGTTTTCTGCAGGGGAAACTTGGAGTTCCTGGACTGCCAGGTTATCCTGGTAGACAAGGTCCCAAGGTAAGCTTAAAAAAATTAACTGAAATGAATTTCCATGAGGGTGGGGGATTGTCTTAGGCCCATTGTTTGTGCTGGTCCCAGAGCTTAGGGCGGAAGAACTGCAGCCGGTGCAGAGGGGTGGGACGGTGGGGTGATGCCCCAGCCTGCAAGCGAGAGGACTTGCAGGCAGATATCTGCAAGGAAAAGAAGAGGAGCTGTCCTTGCTGCTAGGCATTATGGGAGGGAAACGGGTGCTTCGTGCTGATGCCGGTGGGCCATGGTCGTCTGGATGGTGTTGCCTTGGGAGCACTTCTGTGGCCACGAGAGGAGGTGGCAGAGAAGGGAAGGGGGCGAGATCACAGCAGAAGACCAGGAAGGTGGCCAGGGGAGGGGGCTGCGCTTTCCTTGGTGCCCCAGCTCCTGGGCTGAGACCCCTGTCACCTGTCTAAGCCCACAGTCTTTTTAAAAATACACTTTTTGCCACCAATTTAAATGACAGGCAGCAATGAGAGATGTAGGCAGGTAGCACTGACTGTGCAGGGCCAAAGGGCATTACAATCAGGCTGCACAAAAGGGAACATAGACAAACTGCAGCAAAAACAATAACATTATGAAGTTAAAAACACATTTGAAAACACACAAGCACCTTCCTTATGTACAGAGAAAGTGTTTCAGTCTTTAGGCGCCGTTTGAGCCCACATTTTCTTAGCTGCCAAGGCAAACGGCCACTCTGCAAGAGAGATTCTGGTCCATATCAGAGAAAAGAAGAAAGGACACCAGCACCACATCTCCACCACAGAAGAACGTATACCGTTTACAGTTTCAGCAAAGGGCAAAACAAAACATGCCGTGGAAGATCTTTGGGGGGCCAGGCTCCACAAATGCGCAGACATGCAGCCATCACTGTCCGGGTGCAGCGTGACCATTTAGGAACAGTAGAAGGCCTGGTTTGGAACCGCGCAGACATTCTGAAACTGGTGGAAGTAATATGGGAGGGACAGGAGGTTCTTCCATGTTCCGTTTGAACCAGGGAGAAAATCTGGAGCAAGAGACTGTGTTTCCGCCCAGCCTGGCATTGACCTTAAGGATCCATTTCATGCACTGGAACCAGGCAAAGGGATGCTGTGGGAGTCATCCCCTAAGGAAGAGCAAAGAAAGAGATCGTGATGAGTGAAGCAGAGCAGCACTTTGCCCTGACAGCTGGGTGACAGAGAGACGCCTTTGCTTTCTTCAGAATCTGAATAGGGCCAAATGCAATTAATAAGAGCAAAAGGTCACTGTTACTAAATTACTAACATTTGTACGCAATTTCCCAATTATTTTTCTGTTTGCAGTACTTCACCAGAAGTGGTAAATATCCCATTATTAATCTATATACTAATTAACTCATTTAACTGGTACTTATAACCATTTACAATGCAATCCATGCAATGACAGTTGCAGAGAGCTGCTTTGGAGATTGCATAGACAGTGACTCCTTCGGTGGGAAGCGATCTGGACTGCCTTTTTCTATTACTGCAAGGCATTGGTTCCAGAATAACTGCTTGAGTCTTAATTCACAACTCTGAGGGAGACATCAGAAATGCTCTGAAACCTGGGACAGCAGGTCAGGTCGTTGGTGGTCTCTGTGAGATTCTACAAGGAACACAAAAGAGGCTTCATTAGTAGAGTACTCATGGACTTTGAAGTGTTGAGCAGCTCTCTGCAATTGTATGGATTGCATTGCAAATGGTTATTAGTACCAGTTAAATGAGTTAATTAGTATATAGACTAATAATGGGATATTTATCTCTTCTGGTGAAGCACTGCAAACAGAAAAATAATTGGGAAATTTTGGACAAATATTAGTAAACTTTTTGCTCTTAATAATTGTTTCTAAGACACCACGGCCCCACCATATTTTTGTAGGGCCAGATGCAGGCAGGCTCTAATTGAAGGTAAACCCAGTTCAACCCATGCTAAAGGTGCTGAGGCAAAGCTAAGATTCTCTTTCAAAAGAGATGTTGAATACTTCCCAGAGTTGCAATTAAACACCCATTCCAACCCCAGATCTCTATACCATATATGAGCTGTGGAATGGCCTTTACTCTATAACAACTTGAAAGCTGGCTCAATCAAAAATCTTCCTTTTAAGCTGCAAAATTTCAAGACGGCACCTGTGGTTCTCAGACTTGGAGCTCCTGTTATCTCCAGGTGGGCTTTCCTAAAAGTCACCCCACTGTGTTTGATGGAGTTGCCATCTGTTGACCGCTTAGATCTTCAGGGTCTCTTCTGAAAGATCTTGGTCTTGGCAAAATTAGTATTTAAAGGTTTGCCGTTACAGAAATTATCCAGTTTATTCAACATCCTCCTTAAACTGATGCCAGTGAAGGACACCCACTCCATATTGTCCATGTGTAAGAGGACTGATACTTTCTAACGTCTCAGGGATGGAGGAAAGAATTAGAGGCCTGAAAACATGGAACAATATCACTGAAATACAAGTTTAAAAGCACTGAGGTCAAAACCCACCCTGTTTGACCCCGCAAGTAATTAGAATCTCCTCGGAGAGCCTGAAGTTGATTCTAGCAAGATCCCGATGGGAAGCTGTGTTGATCTGAAGCAGTAGAACAAATTTAGATTTCAGTGGGGGCACCTTTAAGACCACCAGAGGTTTGTTCAAGGTATGAGCTTTTGTATGCGGGCACACTTTTTCAACTATTTGAAATAGTGTGCATGCACATGAAAACTCATGCCTTGAATAAACCTTTGCTGGTCTTAAAGGTGCTACTGGACTCTAAATTTGTTCTATTGATTCTAGCAAGTTTATCAGAATGAAATTCCTGTAACAAGAGCAACAAATGTTTGCCCATATTTGTGCCTGCTAATTTTGCTGACTCAAGTTGATTTTGATTGACTGAGTTGAAGGTAGAGGTTAAATCTACAAACACCATGAACATGGACTTGGTGGGGTCCTTAGTACTCTATGGAGCCAGCTGATAAAAAGCCAAGTAATAATCAATGGTATCTACCCCTTTCCTGATCCCTGTTATTCAGGATGGATTACATGGTTGGAGAACTCTCAGTCCTCTAATCTGTGCAGCAGAAAGTTGTTGTACAATTTGGAGGTTATATCCAACAAATTGGATGATAATTTTTGGGAACCAATTTGCAACCCTTTTCAAAAGCTAGGCCAAAACAGGTGTCTAACAACCAGAAGAATGCCTATACATTTCTGGGGAAATCAGAGAGGTTCACCTGCGGACTTACCAAAAGAAAGAGAAGCAATAAGACCAGGGGTCGTTTCGGGAGTGCAAGGAAGCCCCGCGAAGGTCCTCCCTGGCCCCAGGCAGGCAGGGGTGGGGAGAGGCAGGGAGGAAGCAACTTACCCTCCCTCTTCTCCTGCCTCCTCCTGGCTGAATGAGGGCCAGAAGCGGGGCGGCCGGAAGCAGGGGGCGGGGCTTCGTCATGTGCCCCGCCCTCCATACCTCACCCGGGGGAACTGCGATCCCCCGCGTTCCCCCCCGAAATGACCTCTGAATAAGACCCCCAGTTTCAGACTTGGAAATGGGAAGCCATTAAGGTAAAGAAAGCATTTGAAAGAGTGGAACCTGTTCCAAAGACACTGGTGTAGGCCCGGAGGGGTACCATATACTGTGTGTGCTATATTTTGTATGCCAGTTTCTTGCAGAAATCTAGGCATCCCAACCAAGAAAAGACTTACCTAGGCTGAATGATACAAGTTCCCAAAACCAGGACTCTTTCTTATGTTGAACATTTAAACCTACTTCCTGTCATTGCAGTTTTGCATAATTAAGGTTCCTTGTTTTCAGAAGGTTTTTATAAGTAGACCTTAGCTACATGAAGTAATTAGAGGACATTCCAGATTTTTTACCAGTGAAACCACCAAGTATGATATACTACCGCTTTCTTAGCATCCCTACATTGTCAGTCAAACCACCCTCAACCTGGGGATTAAGTGATTTGAAAGGGTTTGTTGTTGATAAATGGGTGTGAGAAGTTGAATTATGATCTCAAAGCTGTTTGTGGCCTCAGAACCATCACTCAGTAGCTCTTGTTGAAGAGTCTTGAAGGTTCCGTCCCTCAGAGTCAGGGCAAATACCAGAGGTAACTGAGAGGACCAGCTGAAATCCTGCTTGTGGATCATGTGGGGAGTTAAGGAAAATGTTAAAGACCAGCCCTAAGCTTAAGGGGCAATGACTGCTTTCAGCCCTGTTACCAGCCCCAAGGCAGGGCCTGTCAGGCCAGAGTGAAGAGGAAGTGGCCTGCACCTCAAGAAGGGAGATATGTAGATGTGCCCCCTGAGACATTGGACCTAGTACCATGCAGGCCTCGCCCAATTTGTTAAAGACCCGGTCCTGTGAAACCTGATTTAAAAGAATAGCCGATTGTCGACACACCTTGCAAAATCAATTAGGCCAAACCAATTCTTTTTTTTTTTTAATTTAAAGTTTTTTTATTTTTAAACAGTAAAAAGAACAAAATACAGTGATACCAAATATCAACAGTAGACTCAGATAAGGTAATAATAAGTGTAGAAACTCTGTTCAGATATGTTTACATGCATTGAATAACTTAATAGTATTTTGGGGGAATTCTGGCACTTAGATCAGCACATAAGATGAAATGAGAATTAGGATATTGAAAGGACATATTGTGCAAGGAAATATTCAGCCTGTCTCAGAAATTCTCCATGGCTAGAGTTTTTGAGAGTTTGGGTGGGATAAAATCAGTAATACAAAGCAGTAATACAAAGCATGTGGCTCCACAAATTATATTCAGGTTTTACTGATCCAAGGTCCACTTGTAGGCTCATAAGTGGACCTTGGATCAGTAAAACCTGAATATAATTTGTGGAGCCGCATCCCAAGGAGTAAACATCCACAGATCCACTGGGACAACCGTTAGCAACCCCCTCCTGTCTCTCAGACCTTTGTGTGCGTTTTAACCGCTGGGACAATGAAGGCAGGATCGGCCGGAGTGTGGGAGGACTAGGTGCCAAAGACAAAGTTTCCTGCCAGCACAAGATTCACAGGAACACAAAAAATCAGCACCATCAATGTTGTCGCCCCACCCCATACGATAAATGTGAGCCCCATGCCTTAACACCTGCAGTACTTTTAGCTTTCTTCAGCTCTCATGAGATATTTTGCTTGAAGAGGGCCTCACTTCTCCACCCGAATTTGTCCCGAATTTCATTTTAGGTGATATGGGTTAAGGTTGAAACTTTTTTGAGAAATTTCAAAAATTCTGTCACTTTCTAAATGCTTGCTTTAAAATCCCCGCCCCCCCCCCCAATATTCGGGGGAGCAGGAGCCTCCAGATTTCTCCCAAACTGAGGCATCCATATATTTCAATTGTGGGCAGTTTTATCTCATCACTGCAAATTTCGAGGAAACATGAATGAAATATGCTAATAGTAAATGCCCCTCAGGTGCTGCTGGGGTGAAGCTGTTTCATCAGCCTTAAATTATTAAGCAGAGATGCCACTTTGGGCGCCTGCAGTCTCCACCAGAGGAGCGTAGAGGGCCGCGAGGGACTGCTGCATCAAAACACGGGCAGCCCTGCTGCTCCGGGGCCGCCCAGGAAAGGCTTTGATGCCGGCATCAGCTGCCTCTTTCTCCGCTTCCACACTAAGAGCAAGAAAAAGAAAAATGCTAAATCTGGGCGCCTGCATTATTCTGGATGCAAATAGCTAGATAATTAATTAAGGAGAATAACTCATGAGAAGATGGCCCTTTAACATGAAAGCGCTGACTCCATTAGTGAGATGAAAGGCAGTGGCAATGGCTCCACGCCCCTCTTCGTTTGGGTGGTTGTCAAACGCTTCCTTGCTTCCCATCACACATGAGAATTCCCTGTGCATTAACGAGCGGGCTGCAGCCTGGTTATCATGCCCTGGAGGTGGCTGAGAATGTACGTTTTTGTTAATGATGTGATTTCTTCTTCTGCTTTGCTGAGAATCACATTTTATTTTTCTTGTTTAATACTTGGAAAAACAGGCGTCTTCAAAGCAGTAATTAACCTCAGAAGTTTGTTTTTTTCCCTCCTGGGGTATTTTTTATCTGTTGCTGCCCCACCCCTCCATGTTTCCATATTTTCAGCTCACCGGTCGCCAGCCCGTTCACAGAGGGGTGCTGTGCCAGTTCATGCCCTGGTCTCTCTGTCTCGGGGCCTCATGTGTCGCCACCCCTGGCCTAGGAGGGCATCTCTTTATGCCCTTCCCAGTAGCGCCTATTAATGCAGCTGTGGGGTGCCTGAGTTGACCCAGAACCTGCTCAGGTGCTGGCACTGAGCTGTGGGCAGCCCACCTGGATCCGGGCCTGCCTGGGTGGGCCAGAGTGGGAGGGAACCCTGGCCTTGCTGTGCCAGGATAGCCAACTGTAGGGCTGATCCAGGGGAATGCCATTCTGTGACCTGAGCCAAGCCGAGGGGGCTGGGGGGTGGGGAGCAGCAGCAGAAGAGCAAAGCGGGCAGATGACTGGGCGGAGCCGTGGTGCTAGTCATCTCCAGGGCACGGTGCCAGGCCTCAAGGCAGTGCAGCTTGGGAAACAAATGAGTTGCCAGGGTGAAGTCCACTGGCAGGCAGGAAATGGGGAGGGGGTCTGGGGTCTGCACTCGTTCCTTGGGAATCCCCAAAACAGAAGCACCCAAATTGTCATTTCCAGCCCGGCTGTGAACAAGCCAGTGAGCCGCTCAGTGCTCCTGTGGAGGGTGGGAGCAGGTGTAGGACCTGGACCTTGCCCTGAACAGCTTTCCTGCCACAGATGACCACCTGCTTCCTTCTTATGCAGTTTCGGGAGAGGTGGAGAAATTGTCTTTGTTCCTTTCTTTTTCTCCAGGGGTCCATTGGATTTCCAGGGTTCCCAGGCACCAATGGAGAGAAAGGTGGAAGGGTAAGAGTGCTTGGGGAGATGGGGACTTGGCCTGATCCTGCTTTCTGGTGTTCTTTGCTTTCTACGGAAAGTCTGTTTTCTCAAAGCAAATTTATGATGCTGACTGAATCGTTCATAAAAACCCTCCAATGGCTCAGTTCTATCCCTGGTGAGAGTTGGGGGTATCCTCTAACACTAGTTTTCTCTGTCTAGTACATACTTAGCCTGTCCTTTCAGGGCGCTCAGAGCAGCATACATGATTCTCCATTCCACATTTGATCTGGATTGGGGCCAGTACCAACGCCCTGGAGAATAATTCTGTGCACTGATACTTAATATACTTGACATAGAGAAGGATGTGAAACCAGGACATAGTAGGACTCATATCCTGGAGTTCAGGAAAGCTGATTTCAAAAAACTCAGAGAAATATTAGGTATGATCTCATGGCTGGAAATGCTGAGGGGGAAATCTGCACAGGAAGGATGGGAGATGCTGAAAAATGAAGTGCTTAAGGCACAATCGCAAACTGTTCCGGTGAGAAAGAAAGGTGGGAGACGGGTAATGAAACCAAGGTGGCTGAACAAGGAACTCTCTGAAGAGCTGAGACTAAAAAGGGAAATGTGCAGGAAATGGAAGGAGGGACAAATTACTGAGGGTGAGTACAAGAAGCAGGCTCAAATCTGTAGGGATGGTGTCAGAAAGGCTAAAGCGCAGATGGAGCTGGGGCTTGCGAAGGATGCTGAAAATAACAAGAAAGGTTTCTATGCCTATGTTCAGAGCAAAAGAAGAACAGGGATGGGGTAAGCTCATTGCTAGGGGACAATGGTCAAGCCTTTACAAGGGATGAAGACAAAGTGGAATTACTTAACTCTCACTTTGCATCAGTCTTTAACCGTAAGGCGAGCTGTATACAAACTGAAGAATGCAGGACATATGAAGGAAGGAGGAACTGCCAGTCCAGAGTAAGTAAGGAGATGGTTAGAGAGCATCTAGCTGCCTTAAATACTTTTACATCAAATATTTAGATATCTGCAATCATAGAAGAATTTTTACCCTATTAAGATACAACGCCTTACCCTCAGCCATAATGGAGGCCAGATATACTAGA